TCTTTAAATGACTTTAGCATCATAGTGATTTGTACTTCATTAGAGGATGCTTTGTGAATATGTTTATTACTTTTAAATTTGTAGTCTTTTCACCACTGACCTATTTCCTGTGGTTCCTTATGTCCAGATCTGCAATTCTATTCCATGCCCCCAATGATTCTTCTTCTTCTTCTTCTTTTTTTTTTTTTTGTTGGTTATGGGGCCTGAACTCTGGGCCTGGGTACTATCCCTCAGCTCTTTAGCTCACGGCTAGTACTCTACCACTTGAGTGTCAGCGCCACTTCCGGCTTTTTCTGTTTATGTGGTGCTGAGGAATCGAACCCAGGGCCTCATCCATTCAAGGCAAGCACTGTACCACTGAGCCATCTTCCCAGCCCACCCTCAATGATTCTTACAAATAATGTGTAAACATAGCTTGGTTGACTTTTTGGAAAATCTGTTATTAGTTATATTCCAATTACAAAGGAGCCTATAAACATAAGCCAAAAAATCTAGAAGAGACTAGAGATACGGGGAATGAGGTCAAGGAAGCTCTAAACCAGAAGACAAGAAAGCAGAGCAGAGTGGCCATGATAAAATTCTTGTGAGCCTTAAGAAGACTCTCAACAATATTTTTCAATTTTGTTTTAGTGTTAGCAGGGGAATTTAGTCTATATAAGAAAATCACTATTTAAATCAGCCAAGAGATACGTAATAAAAAAATTCTTTAAAAGAAATAAAGACATTTTTTATGGAATAAAAAGAAAGAGAAGACTAGCACCAAATATGCTAACAAGACCAATAGTATTTAATGGATGATCCTAACTTAGCACCCAAAACTCCTGGTTACATATAAACTAAAAAAAAATACATTCATGTATTGGTTCAATATATTTCACAGTGTTTATTATGTTCCTCTCAGAAAATGAGAGCAAGTTCCCATAGGTTACATGGAGATGAGTGATACTTTTAATGTCCTGGGGTTGTCTTGAACTCTGTTAAAAATGAAGTGTCATTATTCTACGTCCAAGATATAGAACTCTAACCTAGGCTACCTAGATATTAAATCCTCCTGCAATCCCCAAGTAGTAAGACACACAAAAAAAGAAATAACTTCTCTATAGGGCTTTTATGCAGTATTCTTACCTTTTCATAAAAATGTAGAAAATTGGGCTGGGAAGGTGGCTCAGTGGTAGAGCGCTTGCCTTGCATGCATGAGGCTCTGGGTTCGATTCCTCAGCACCACATAAGCAAAAAGAAAAAAACTGGAAGTGGCACTGTGGCTCAAGTGGTAGAGCGCTAGCCTTGAGCTGAAGAACAGAGGGACTGCGCCCAGGCCCAGAGTTCAGGCCCCATGACTGGACAAAAAAAAAAAAAAAAGTAGAAAATAAACATTAAAGATTCTAGGAAGGATATAACTTTGGTCTGTGTTTCTGTGGTTGGAAAGCTGTGTTTATCAGCAAGCCAATACATTCAAATATGCAACATTTGTATTATAGAACTACATATCAATTCAGAGAGAGGTAGCAGTGATTTCATCTTACTGAGAGATAATGAGGAAAAAAAATTAAACTCAAGGGGTATAGAGAATGACCAAACAACACCCATTCCCACTTCAGTCCATATACCAGGGTTTTCATCTTCAGAGACAAGTGTTGGTGCTCAGTCTTGACACTTTTATCGAGAGACTTCTATGTGCTATCCATTTTGTGGAAGGTATTCCTAATGAACAATGTAGTGGACTTAGAAGTATCTCAGGGTACATTTGAGGAAGAGTAGCATCATAGATGGGCCTCTGAAAACAGTGCTTGGGATAAAGATTTATGGGTTAGTAATTTAAACAAGTGTTTTCAGTGTAAAGAAGTGATGGAGGCAAGAAAACTAGCTAAGGAAGAGGCCTTTAAGATGATGTCCCACCTTATTCTAATCTGTGCAGTTATTTTTTAAACAAATGATTGCATATTTAAAAATCATCTTGAAGTAGTTGTACAAATGAGTTGCCATTTAACAAAACAGTTTATGGATATACCGCATCTTGTAATGTCAACCCTTTCAACATTTTCACTCATCCTTCCCTTTCCCACCCTTCCCCTAACTTATTCATTTTGTAGGATGTACTCTGAATTTTTGACTATGTTCTCCCCTTCTCCTCATTCAGCTATGCCTTCACCATTCCCACTCCACCCATTTTAAGTACTATTTTGTTGGACTCTCACTTTACCTTTCTAAGGAACTGCATTATTTGAGATCTGCCTTGAATCTACCACATTTCAGTTAATACATGTGTATATACTTGCTTAACATCCAAGATATTTACTTAAAAGTTTATAAGCTGAATTTCATTTCAACATGGAAGGGAAAACAGCATCCTTTGTCTCTCTCTTGCCTGACTTATTTTACTTAGAATAATTTGTTTCTAGGCCTTTCCATGCCTTTACAAATGGTAAAATACCATTCTTTCTAATGGTTGAATAAAATTTCATTGTGTATATATACCACATTTCATTGAGCCATTTGTTCACTGAGGGGAATCTGGGCTGATTCCATACCTTGGTATGGTGAGAGTGATGCAATGAACATGGTTGTGCTGATGGCTTTATTGATTCTGGTTTGTCATCTTTTGGATAAGTGCCCAGGAGTAGTAGAATAACTGGGTCATCAGGGAGTTTTTAATTTTTTTGAGGGACCTCCATATTGCTTTCCAGAGTGGTTGAACACATTACATTCCCACCACCAGTGTATTAGAGTTCCCTTTTGGCTGCATCCTCACCAACATCAGTTAGTTTTCTTGATAATGGGCAGTCTAACTGGAGTGAAGTGGAATCTCAATGCTGTTTTGATTTTCATATTTTTTTGTTGGTTGTGGGACTTGAACTCTGACCCTTGGCACTGTCCTTAGCTCTTCAGCTCAAGGTTAGTGCTCTACCTCTTGAGCCACAGTGCCACTTCTGGTTTTCTGGTGGTTTATTGGAGATAAGAGCCTCATGGCTTTTCCTGCCCAGGCTGGCTTTGAACTGTGATGCTGAGATCTCAGCCTCCTGAGTAGCTAGTATTACAGACATGAACCACAAGTGCATGGTTTCTGATTTGCATTTTTTTATGGTGCCAGAGACGTTGAGCATTCTTTCATGTGTATATTGGCCATTTTCACTCCTTTTGAGAAGACTCTTGACTGTACTCAGTGCTATAAAGGAAGTCCGGCGATTGTATCCCTCAGACTGAATAATTCTTGGCTAATGGAGGTTACAGAAATTCATTATAACCTCCTATGTGTTTTCAAGCACAGAACTTTACATTGCCCTAGGGAAAGCCTCCTGAGAAAGAGGAAGGGATATACTGTTAGCGTTAACATTCAGTAACTGTCAAGGAGATTTTTTTTTTCTGTTGCCACATCCTTTCTTTGCCTCACAAACTCTCCAGTTTGTACAGCCTACAAAATGCCACAATCTACATGCCCACCAGTGGCACAGAAGCACAGAAGTCAAGTATTCATGACTACCCTCTGTAATCTTAGCTACTCAGGAGGCTGAGATCTGAGAATAGTGGTTCAGAGCCAGTCTAGGCAGGCAAGCCTGTAAGATTCTTATCTCCAATTAACCACCAAAAAGCCACAAGTGGAGCTGTGGCTCAAGTGATAAGAGTGCTATCCATGAGCAAAAAAAACTTCAGTGACAGAGCCCAGACCCTGAATTCAAGTCCCAGGACCTGTGTGTGTGCACGTGACACACACACACATACAAACACATACACACATGCATACACACAACTATTCTTTACTAGTAACCTTTGTTTGATAACATTAAGGTATGCATATATTTCAATGTGTGGTATTAGTATTTCTTTATAAAAACCAACTAGCCCAATGGTTTCTTTCCCTTTTGTGACAGTATATCATATCTCAGGCTTGACAATTAAATTCAAAAAAAGAGACATTGTATCTTGCTAGCATGTTATGTATTTTCACTGACTCACCCATAATACTCTCAGTAATGTGATGCAAATAATTCCCTGGAGAATACTTTTAATATGCGATAAATTTCAGTGTTGTTTTATAATGGATAATTTGATTTACAAAGCAAAGCTTTAAGCAAAGCCTTTCTCTTTTTAATGAAATGGGACAATAGATTGGGGGAATTTTTTTCTGCTTTCTTGATTAAAGGTTAAGGAATTATTTGCAGTTTTGAAATGTGTCTTAGGGAATGTCCTTAGAGAATGCCACATTGAATTATAATAACCCCAATGTGTGGCTGCTCTTGGTGACATACTAGCAATAACATGATTTCATTTTAGTTGTGTAGTGTTTCTGTTTCTTATTCTCCTGGGGTGATGAGATGCTTCTATTCATATGGCTGAGTTTCAAAAGTTGACTTTCTTCATGCTTCTGAAAGGAAGTCAATAATAATTCACTCAATGATGATATCATACAATTGAGACAGATCTCTGATAAATAGAAACAACCTACCTGAAGGCAAATGTACTGCTGCTTAAACATAGCACCTAAACGTTGAGTTCAGAGCCATACCTGAGGTTGGGACTGATGTGATGACTGATGTTCTGTATCTCACAAGTAATTCACTTACATTGTTTGGGGATACATGATGAAAACTAATGCATTTGAAAAATCCTTCTTCCCACCAGATGAAATTTACATTCTGAAACAGCAAACAAGTTACTAAACAGCTCATGCAAGTTTGATGCCTAAAGTGTTGTATTTGTCATGCCAGACTGAACAGACTGAATAAGGCTTGTAAAATTTAATTGTTCTCTAGGAAAGAATTCCTTGATGGTGACATTGATATTTAATTTAACATGTTAATTGAGGGATAACTCAGACTTACATTTCAGAAAATCAATTTACCATGTAAACTGTTAAGGTAAAAGAGATGAAAGTCAGTGTCTGATTATGGGATGAAGAAAACAAGAATCAATGGGATTAGGATGCTGCCTTATTTCCAGATATTTGGTGAGGATGATTCAGAGAGGATCTTTTCATGTTTGGAGCTCTTCCCTCCACCCCCACCCCATGTCTCCCAATTCGCCATACAAATTAGGCACAGAGCCTGGGCTGGGCTGCAGTGTATATACTATAGGTTTACTATGCCTCCATTTTCTATAGTCAGGATAAGAATATATCTTGTAGTAAGCCCAGGAAGCCATATTGGAGCTCTTAAAAATAAAGTTCTTTAAACGTGTGTGGATTTAAATGTGTATCATCTTTACATGAATAATTGATTCAATTCATGAAAAAATATTAAATCTTCACATTCTTTAATGTTTTTGAAAAAAAAAGTAGATGGTGCAGTGGAAAATGAGACACCAATAGAATTATTTATCCCATTGGAAAAATCAGTTGAATTTCATGTAATTCTCTTCAACATAATTGAGTGAACTGCAAACAGGATATAAATTAAAGTGTAGATTTAACATACTTTAGCATAATGTAGGTTGTTGTACTTGTAACTTTTTATACATCCTTTTTTGGGCTTGCTTGAGTAGAAAGTTCTCAAAGATAGAAGGCACATCAATTTCTTTTTCATGATATTCTATAAAGTCTATATTCAAGACAATGCAGCAAATTTGTTAAGTTGACATGATTTTTACTGGAGTTTATGTAGGCTTTGTTAGGTCATTGAGATAAAATAGATATGAGATAGATATAAAGGTCCAAACAGACTCTCAACTTGTTTTCATAGGCATAATTTTATTGGAACACAATAATTTCTTATTGTCTATACTAGCTGTGCTAACACTGTAGCAGAATTGAGTAGCTGTGACAAAATCTATTTGAGGCTCAAAGTAAAAAATATAGCCCTTTGTACAAAAGGGTTACATATCTCTGAACTAGTCTTTGATATTTTGTTTGTGTCTTGAGGAGATTGAAAAATGAAGTATCCACATAGTTATCCATATTTTCAACTAGTTGTTTAAGAATTTAATTTTTGTATTTTCTTTAATATGCTTTTAAGGTATGATGTAAAACCTAATACCATTATATTCCTACATGATTATTGCCTCTTTACCATTTACCAGTAATAATTCATCTGCATATCACTAACATGAGACAATAACTTCTTTGTCTTCCTCCTCTTCCTTCTTCTTTCTGTTTCCTCCTTCCTCCGTCTCACTAATCAATATTGAATTAGAGTATCAGTTATTACTTAATGTGTTGAGCTTTTGCTATATGTTAAGAACCTTGTTGGGCATTTTATTGGTATAATCTTACTTTTCATTCACCATAGTTCTATAATGATTTTATTATCACCACTTTAAGATGAAGAACCAGAGCTGTACAGAGTTTATTCAAACTGTTCACACATTTAAGTCACATAATTAAAAGTTACGGAGAAAAAATTCACGTCTTTTTTTAAATAAGTTTTTTTCTTGTGAAAATACTGTACAGAGGGGTTACAGTTACATGAGCAAGGTAATAAGTACATTTTTTATCAAGCATTGTTGCCTCCTCCTTTGTTTTCCCCCTACTATCCCTTCTGTCCCACCTCCACAAATACACCCCCCTCCCGCCCCACACCTAAATTGCAAAGTTCATTTTTTGACATAGCCTCTTGTACATCTCATTGTTGCAATGAGTCAATCTGTATCCCTGTTTAAACAATTTGTTTTTTCCCTTCCCCTCCCCAAATTATACCAACATCAAACACAGTGAAAACGGGTTATACCGTGAGGGAGAGACATACAAATCAACAAAAAATATCATGTGGTACCTTATAAATTCGTTAGAAACAATAGCAAGAAAGAAAAAAAACCACTTGTGTCCTTATTTTGAGGTTCATTTTGCTTAATATCATCTTGTCTGACCTCTTCTGCCTGTCTCAGACATATACTAATTATTGCAAATATGGGAAACCATGGCAGATGTAAATGTTGCAATTAAGTGCATTTGATGAAATTTAGTGGAAAAATTAGACCATATAAAATTCTTATGCACATTTTGATCATGACTTAACATTGTGTTCAGTTTAGTTATGCAGTAACAAAAATATGGTATTAAGATATTCTATAAACACATTATAAATATTAACCCATTTAAACTGCAAAACAGCCTGATGCTGTAGGGGTAACCATGATCAATATGTGTGTTTGTGTGTGTGTGTGTGTGTGTGTGTGTGTGTGCACGCCTGTGTCTGTGTGTGTTGCTCTTAGGGCTTGAACTCAGGGTCTGGTTAATAGCAGATCAGAGTCTCCTAGACATTCCTGCCCAAAATGTCTTTGAACAATGATCCTCCAATCTGAGTCTTCTGTGTAGTTAGGATTACAAGTGAGAGCCACTGGTGCCCAGGAACATATTCAATATTTCAACGGAATGAAATCTGGAGAGATCAGTGGTTTGCTTACGATAGCTTAGTAGAATACCAGACTTGGCATTTAAATATAGAGAGTATTATTCTAGTTTTACTCTGATGTTCTAGATTATTCTGCTCCTGTTGTCATCACAGATATGTTCATAAATATAAAATATAAATATATATAAATAAAAAAATGATCATGTGCTGAGCTGCAAAGAGACCAATAATACAAACATGAAACAAAATTATAAATAAATATAATCATGTAAGTAAAAACCAAAATATAATTACCTAAATCAAATTAGCAATGACTTGGTCTATATTCCTGGGCAATCTAGCAATTGGCTAGTGGTCTTCTTAGACAGGCATTTGTGATATAAAACAAAAATGATATAGTATTGTGGAAACTAGGAGAACTGATTATATAAAGCTGTAAATTGCTTAAAACCTATATAGATCAACTCTTATGGTTAGAGTTTATTAATATTTTAAAGCATTTAAAATGTATTTCTGTCCAGTGAAAACAACCATGCTTCTTTTTGTCTTTGTTTCCATATTTTATTAGCATGAATTAGTTGTATAGAGGGTTTTGTTTTAATATGTCCATACATGCATAAAATGTACCTTGCTCAGATTCACCCTCTCCATCGCTTTCCTCACTCCTATTTCCTGACCTGATTTCAAGAAGTTTCATTGATCCAGTTCCACACATATACATAAAGTATTTTGACCATATTCCCTCTCCCTGCTCCAATTAGTACCCATAATCTGGACAAGACCTATTTATAGATTTATCATTCCTTAAAAATATATGCCTATTGTTCGAGGGTGTTTCACGTTGGTATTTCACACAAGTGTATATAGTACTCTAGTCAGATTGGACCCCTTTTACTCTCACTTTTCCCGGCCCCATTGCCTCCCATTATTTAACAGCTTTCTGTGGTTCTCCAGCTCCTTTTACAAAGCCAGTTTTGAAAAAGGCCACTTCTGAATCATCTAAGGATTTAAAAATATCTGAGACGTTTCTTAATAAATCATCTTGTTCTTTTTATTTTTGCTTGAATGTATCAGATATAATAAATAAGGCTTTATAATTTGCCAGAAAAATCACTGCTGGATTCCACAGAAATGGGATTGATTTCAATCACCAAGTAAAGCATTTTTTTTTTATTTTTAGAATTTTGTGTCTGAGCATAGCAATGCCTATCTTGGCTCTCTGCACCTCAGCAGCTATTATGTTAGGAAAAGCACTGCTCTGAGATTCAGAACTGTTTCCAGGGAACAAACCAAGTGAAATGAATGATATAAATTTATACTGCTTAACTGCTTATACTTTTATAGTGGGATTTGAGTTTTTCCAAGGAAAGTGTTGGCTTTAATCATATCCAAATTGCATCCCGAATCAAGTCAAAGGTTATGTTATTGAAAATTAATTTTGAGAGTATTACTGAGGGAAATATTGGTACAGAAATGATTTTTTCAGTTCTGCCTGTTCAGTTTTGTACCATTCATGACTTTTGACCTCCTGGGAACTAAAAACCCAAATCAGTTTTAAGTGGTTGGCCTCACTTAAAATTGGTTGAAGAAAGATGATTTGCTGGGTCACTAGCTAAGGGCCAGTTTGAAAAGAATTTCATTTGCTAACACTGTGCTAGTTGTTATTGTGAGCAGTCCCTCAATGGGCTGAGTCAAAGTCCTGATGAGATGTCACATACTGAGTTTCTGAAATGCTGAATCTTTATTTTTCCTCAAAGATGAGAATCTTGCATTGTTCTAAAAGAGATTGCTTGACAAAGGATGTGTAAACACATTCATAAATCAGCCTATAAACATCATACTTTGTACTTGTGGTCAACTAAGCTCTGATAATGGGGAATTATTCTGTCCAAACTATTTCTAGTAAAAGTGCTTACAATATAGTTTTTTAAAAAAATTGATACCAATAGTACATTTTCATTTAATTGGTGAAAATAAATTCAGATCACTGTATTACATATTTATGTTTGAGTATGCTACTTAAAATTAGTCATAATCCTAAAACTCGTGGAGATTCATCAGTAAGTGAATTGTTCTTTCATGGTATTAAAAAAGATTTTTTAAAATACAAGACCCATCTATGGCTCATCAGTTTAAAGACAATTTTTCTTTTAAGAAATGACATGCAATTCTACTTGTTTTGTGTTGTCGAGTAGAAAATTTGTTTATCATTCAACCTAAAAGAATGTTTCTGTCTAGAGGACTGGTAGACAAGCCAATGGAAATATCTCTGTATTGTATGCAGGACCACATCAGTACAACACACCCAGAGAATTTGGAAGGCACAGCAATAATTCATAGCATTTTTATTACTAAATCTACAACAGACATTAGATGCATACTGAGTGAAGAATAACATTGGATAGAAAAATATCCAACGTTTCTTTATCAGACCTAATGAACTGACTGGTTCCTCCCTAAATTACTTTGTTTCCTCCTTTTTTTTTCTTTTGTCGATTATGGGTCTTGAACTCTGGGCCTGGACACTGTCCCTCAGCCCTTCAGCTCAAGGCTAGGGCTTTACCACTTGAGCCACAGTGCCACTTCTGGTTTTCTGAGTGGTTTATTGGAGATAAAATTCTCATGGACTTTCCTGCTGGGCTTGCTTTGAACCATGATCCTCAGATCTTAGCCTCCTGTGTAGCTAGGATTATAGGTATGAGCCACTGCTCCTAACTGTTTTCTCCTTTCTGTATATGTTTCTATTTGCCACTGGGTACGGAGATTTTGGATCAAAGAAATCTTACAGGGTACTTGTTGGTCACTTATAGCATTCCTGCATCTCTTTCTGGTGTCATCACAAAGTAGATGTCAA